CCAAGGTGACCTGCTCCAAAAGCCCAGATCTGCCAGTTTTTCCAGAGGTTGGTGTGGGTTGTCTCCTCTTTGGCTGATGGACCCCAGGAGCCAGCTTGCTTCCGGGTTTCCTATTTGCCCAGGAACAGGAAAGCCATGGAATAAGGTGGCCCTCAGGGCTGTCTCTGCCATGGGCACTATGTGTGGTCCAACCTGTGCCCAGACCTGTGTCAAGTTCACCGTGAGAGCATTTCAGCCAACAGTGTGACTGGAGTTTAAGGTACACTTATATGACATGACATAGACATGATTTATATTACCTATTATAGTATAAATGTATTCATATAACATGTTGTCATGTAAATATGTCACATGTTGTAATATATATTTAAAAACAAATATAGATATATAAATTTTTCATGGGGCAATACAAATATATCTCACATATTTAAATGTATTTGAATACTTATTGAATATGAAAATGTGTAGTGTTTAAATATATGATATTTAATATATTTGCATGTTATATTTAAATACATTACGTATTTATTTAAATATGTAACCGAAATTACAATATTTGCATACATTAAATATAACATGTGTTAAGCTATTAATTAAAAAATTGACATTTTAACATATTTAACACAACATGTTTAAATGTATAACATATTTAAATATATTAAGTATATCTACATAACAACATGTCCTTAAAACAGATCCATAGGGACTCATATCAGTTAAGAATCTAGCAGATGGGCCGGGGTTGGGGCTCACCGGTAGAGTGCTTGCCTAGCATGTGCAAGGTGCTGGGTTCGATCCTCAGCACCACAGTAAAATAAATAAATAAAACAAAGGTATTGTGTCCAACTACCACTAAAAATATTATTCAAAAAAAGAAGAATTTAGCAGATTATTCTTTTCTTCATCCTGGGCTCATTTCAGAACATATAGCCATCACGTAGAACGACACTCACAGTAGGCTGTCTGCATTTAACATCAGTTATTGATATTTCTTTTTTGATAATTTGCTAGGTTCATTTTTAAATGTCAATGTGATTCTTCTTTTGATTTTACTCTATGCAGGTAAACGTATTTGGAGCCAGATTGTGAAAACTCACATACGAGGACGGTCATTTGCTACTGGTCATTTCGGACGAGGGAGTGATTACTTCCAGCTTAGAGAATGGGAGATGGACTCACTGGAGACTATGGACTGGGAATGGGCCCTAAAGGATGCGAAGTTTAAGTGTCCAGAGACTGGGCAGAGGGCACTCCGTGCAGAGGAAAGGACCCAACGAGGTTTGCAGGGGGTCCCGAGCCACCCACACCCAGTAGCACCACGAGTAACGGTAGGAAGTATTTGCAGTAGATGATGTAAAACCCGTACTTGGGGTTTTCGACTATTTTGCCAAAAATGTAGGACACGGGATCAGCTTTTCAAGTGAGAGTCCCGTGATTAGATGAACGATGCTAGGGAGAGAAAGAAGAGTCAGGGACAGCTTAGCTCCCTGTGTGTTTCTGTCCCTACTAGACAGCGTTATGTCATTGAAGCCAGGGACTCTCTTCATCTCTGTATCACGTGGTTCCTTGGATCAAAGTAGGAGCAGCAGAGATGCTTCCAGATCCCCATGCTGCCCCCTACCGAAATGTGTCTGTCTCCAGAGGAGAAGGGCATCAGTCCTTGAGATAATGGTGTCCAGGTCTTTCTTCTGTCTTTTTTTGGTTGTTGCTTTTTAATTGATGTCAAGGTGTGGGAAAATTGGAGACAATCTTGCTAGAAACAGCCCAGAGTTCTTTGCATTATAAGACTCCTCAATGATATAGCTAGAGTTTAGTGTCTTTCCTTACAGATTTCTGGGGTCAGGGAATCACTGTTCTGACATGATTGGACTATTCGAATTGCTTCAGAGTCCCATAACTTGTAGCTTTCTCCTGTGTGTTTTTTATGTTACAGTTATGGGCATCTCCCTGCACAGCCTGCCCGCCATCTTGTTTTGATTATGGTCCATGGAAGACCAAAGGTTACTTAGCAATGACACAGAAACTATTTGGAATTACCTTATAACCCTTTATCAACACATTTCATTCCCAGGCGACAGGAATCATGCCAAGTTCAAATCAAGGCCCAACCAGAGAGGGAAAACTTCCACACACAAAACTTTTAAGCTGAAATTTTCTACTTGCAGTACCTTTGCTCTGTCACCATAGCAATCTGCACAGGGGACATGGAGGGAGTTTGATAAGAGACTCACCTTGTCCTCTGGGGTGTCTCGATTTACAATGGCACTGGTTAATTCCATCGGGTGTGAGTTGGCCATCCACACGTTGCTAATCGTCGGAATTGTTTGGTCATTTTAAGAGAGAAAGAACGTAGACAATAAGACATATTCTAAGTGTTTAGTTGGCGCATGGGAAGGGGGTAAACATAAAAGCCATCTTGGAAATGTGTATGAATTCATGAGAATCCATTGTCCTTGGCCTTGGGGACTTTGATTAACAATAGGGTAGAGGAGAACGTGGAAAATGTGAGTTCACTTCCAACATTGGCCATTACGATGGAAACAGAATCATATTCAATAGTATTGCAGAGTAATAATCTATAACACACAGCCCTATTTTTTTTTCCTCTCAAGTGAGGAAGTTATCTTCTACATCACAGTCACCTGTCACTTCTCCTGTAAGCCTTTTGTCTTGAGGGTCGATACATTTTTTTTTTATTCTTCCAAAAGACCTGCTGCTTTGGGTGCAAAGGTACCCTCCGCCTTAGAGCTCACAGTCTGCAAACTGTCAAGGTCTCCAGACCTTGATGGGGACATCCGTCTTTCCTACATACTCTCTGATCTATCGCCGTCGCTGTGAAAATGTGGCGCTTGGTATTAAGCTAGTTTGGGGTAACTAGACTACCCAGGGCAGACACTAGTGGGACAGAAACTTCCCAAGTGGGAAAGCCCTTTACTGTTACTAACAAAACCCAAGAGCTCTGCTGGCTTGCAATGAGCACACGATTATCTCAAATTCCTCTGTCCTGACGTCCTCTGTGCATTGAGCAATTTAATTCTTTGAACTTGAGCGAAAGTCTACAGCGGCAACCCCACCCAAGTCTCTCTTAAGGGTCTGGACTCTTACTAGTAGCAAGATCCTTTTTAAAGTGCTAGGGATGTGGCTCAGTGACAGAGCACATGGCACAAGGCCCTGGCTTTGATCCCCAGCCCCGCCACCACCACATGCACACAATCAACCCTTTTTTTGCTCCTTGTCAGAGGCTGGGCTCAAGTCTCCTTGGAGATAGGCAGTCCTTCTCTGGTCTATCTCAGGTGACCTCATCCCCTGTAAGAAGTCAGTAGCTGTTACTCAGGTGCTTTAAGAAAGGCTACAGGGAGCATCGAGGTTCAGCAATAAAAGACATCCTACATCAGACTCTGTCTTTGTTGGGGGGGAAAAAAAGAAAGTAGAGCTTTGTAGGAACGATTTGTTTCCATGCACACTTTTTTGAAGACATAGATCTAAATTCTTCCTCGTAACACATATGGGATGGTTGGTGAAATGCCTCGTCCAGTGAGCACATGGGCCGACTCCTCTGTGCCTGCAATTTTGCTTCATCCACCTGATCAGGAAAGAAATAGCATGGCCATGATCTCTTGCAAGGAATTTAGTGTTCCAGAAGGAGCTGTATGTTTGAATCTTCCCAAACTCCCCCCTAAGGTACCATAAAAGATGAAGCTTGCCTCATTCTCGGGAAGACGAGTCTTAGAAATCCTGATTTATTTGCAATTTGTATAATAAAGCAGTCTCATTGGACCCAGGGGTCTACGAGAAACCAAAAAGCATAAAAATCAAGACACAGAAATTGTTTTTTCCAAAAAACCATTTCTTCTCCCCAACGAGAGGCCCGTTCAACGCTATGCAAATTAGGTGGTGGTACCCTTGTACGGTAATTATGTTCTCTTAATGTTTCCACGATGGCTCTGCTCTTGCCCGACTTCAATATTTTAGGGGCATAATGGTCACCACGGAAGGAATGAGCACACGTGATTTCTAGAGACGGAAGACCCCTGAAAATCAGATTCAGAAAATGCAAAGGGAATATTTTTTTTCCATTGCTAATTTGTTTCAGAGCTATCTTAACAAGAGAGAAAAAAATAGAGTGCTATCTCCAGGAGAAAAAAAAATGAATGAAATGCAAATGAATTAATTAGAAACATCCTAAATTGCAAATCCTTCACATTCTATACCTATGCTCAAAACCCCGCGGAGGACCTGCAGACCCTCACAGGCTGGCTGTGAATCATCAGAGTGCGTGTCACAGGAAGAAAGGGAATAGATGCTGTCTTTCATAAAAATGTCCTTTTTTTAATCAAGTACATTTGCAAAACACAGTAGATTAAACAAAGTTCCAAGGATCATTGCTATCCATCCAACCCCCCTCCACCATGATGGGCTGCCTCATCACAGGCCCAAAGCTAACCTGCATGAAATGGAATCTCTAGAACTGTGAGTCAATATAAACCTTTTCACTATTTAAGCTAATTATCTCAGGTAGTTTGTTATAGTCATGGAAAGCTGACTTACTATGAAGGGAATAAGAAAATGTAGTCAGTGGAGTGGTCATGCAACTGGGGGAGTCCTGCTCATCTTGTTAGGACAGTTAGGCAGCCATCTCTGAGGCAGTCTTCCAAAGGTATTTTAGGAGGCACTCTTTGGGGAGACCTTGGCCCTACCAGTCCCTAATGTTAGAACAATAAAACTGCAGACCAGGAAATCAATGAAGCTCAGCTGAAGTCACGAGAATGGCTCAAGGTTGAACTAGAAATGAAATTTCAGCTCTCTGCTCTGTTTGGAATATGCACTGCCCGCCTATTTAATAACCACTCCTGGGATATTGACGATTTTATAAAGTTCGGCTCTTTAGAAAGTTCTGGAATTTTCCTATAGGGCGCAATAGATTTGGAATGTCCTGTAGGAATTTTTCATACATAGCCGACATGAATTTAATGAATAAAAAAATGCTCATACATCTGCAGATTTGGGTAGCAGCAAGAGATCCTGGAACCCATCCCCCATGGAGACCAAAGGGTGATCGCGAACTTCCTGAAAGAGGGGAGAGAGGGAACGAGAGAGAGAAGAAACTGGTGTCCCCACCCAAGGAAGACACTGAAGGTCAGAAATACTTAGAGCTGTTTTATGAGGTTTTTCTTTTTCTATATGGCGTGTGAGGTCACCTGCCATCTGTATCTGCTCCGTATTTTTCTAATGCCCTGAGAATAACCACAATTTCAAGAGCTCATCTGTGTGGACTCTGAAATGACCTCCCATGGCTTCAGGAGCACAGGCACCGTGGGGGACTGCCTCGGGTGATCTCCTCAACTTCTAGACGCTGATTCGGAAATTCATACTGAAGCAACCTCTCCCCTGAGCTCAGCCACCCCCTGAGGTCACCAAGGCAATGTCTAATACCATCCAATGACCCTCATTCTAGTCCAGACATACTGGCCTCCTTTGATATTTCCCCTATTTTATTTCCTCCCAGGTTCTGCCTGCCTGGATTCTAATGGTCAGATCTCAGCTCAGCTGTCACCACCTCAGAGATGGCTGCCTAACTGTCCTGACAAGGTGAGCAGGCCTCCCCCAATTGTGTGAACACCCCACTAACTACATTTTCTTATTCCCTTCATTGTATGTGTCGGTCAGCTTTCCATGACTGTAACAAACTGCCTGAGATAATTAGCCTATAAAGTAAAAAGGTTTATTTGGACTCACAGTTCTAGAAATTCCATTCCATGCCAGGTTAGCTTTGGGCCTATAATGAGGCAACCCATCATGGTTGTGGTGGTGGTGGGGGGGGGGAAGTTGGATGGAGCAAAAGTGTTCAACTCTTGGCCAGGAAGCAAAAGAGAGAGAAAGGAAGGGGCTCGGATCCCAAGGGCATGCCCCCTATGACATAAGGACCTCCAACCAGGCTCTGTCACTCAAAGTTCCATTACTTCTCAATAGTACCCTGCTGGGGAAACCCTTTAACAAATGAGCATTTGGGGACATTATAGCATCATGCATGTTATAATCTACACATTTTTGTTTATTTTATCATCTACTTGTTCCTCTTGTTTCTATTTGCATAGGGATTCTTGTTGTCCTTTTTCCTAAAGAGGACTTTTGGCACAGTAGGTCCTCAGTAAATTTACAAGTTTGGGAATGTAGCTCAGGTATAGAGCACAGCTGAGCACACACAAGGTCCTGGGTTTAGACTCCAGAATCAATCAATCTCAATCTCTCTCTCTCTCTCTCTCTCTCTCTCTCTCTCTCTCTCTCACACACACACACGCACACACACACACACATACACGCACACAGAGTCACACACACACAGAGTCACACAAAGCTCGTGTCTGCTTTCAAGCACAGATGGTCCCCGACTTAGGAGGGTTCATCTTAACAATTCTGGTCTTTCACAATGGAGCAAAACTTGTGTGCATTTGGTAGAAGCCACTGCTTGAACCTGACGTGTAGATCTCTCCTCAGGCCAGCGACACAGTAGATGTTCTATCAAGAGGCCAGGCCAGGGGGACTCAGCAGTGGCTTCAGTCAGTCCCACGACCTGCGGGGCGTCCTGTGGCTGAGCTGGCAGGTGGGCTAGGTTAGGTGTACGAAATGGATTCTTCCCTCACAGGATTTTGAGCTTCCAGTGGATTTCCCAAGAAGTATGCCCCCTGGCACACGGGGGAGCATCTGGAGGTGGGTGGATAGACATCACCCATTGCCTCAGGGGCTGGGAAGGTCATGAAAAGGAAACAGATCATCGTTAGCCAAGGTTTGGTCTTTTGTCTGGGGACTTCAGGGACCTTTGTTGCTAGTTTTGGTTTGTTTGTTTGTTTCATTCAAACTTCTCAATTTTAAAATTAGTCAAAATAGAACTTGAAATACTTGGGGCCTCGGAGGAGGTTCTAAATCGTGGGCTGAAACTCCAAACCTGTGAGCCAAAACAAACCTTTCTTCTTTTTCAGTTGACTACCTCAGTTATTTTGTTACAGCAATGGAAAGCTTTCTAACACATTGTCTTTCCCTTGCTAATATGCCCTTAAGTTTGCCCCCATCTTTTCATGGCTCTCAAGCTGATTTCTTTTTAGTACCATTGGCTGGAGGTACCACAGCTTATCTATTCACAGACTGGAGGAAGTTTTCATTGCTTCCAAGTTAGGATGATCACGAATATAATCACTGCCTTACGCACCCATGTGCGGGTGATTGTGTAGACTCAAGTTTGTTTCCTTTAGGTAAAGGAGTGCAGTTCCTGAATCATGGGATGGATTGTCCCATGATTCGTGTCAAATTGCCTTTCAAAGTGTCTGCCTATTTCGCCTTTCCACAGAGGAGGTTCCAGTTGCTCCACAGCTTTTCACCTTTTTCTAGCATCTAAAGTAACTCACCCGCCCTCTCCCAGTGACTTGGAGCAGGAACTCCCGGCTTGCAGGGCCTGCTCTCAGAATACCCGAGTCCTCCTCCCACTGTTCAGTGTCTGGCTAGTTTTCGGGGTTGGACCTGTCAAGGGGAAGTGGCTTCTCTCAGGGATCTGTCTGTGTAGACACCAGCCCCCCCACCCCCCCCACCCCGGGAGCCCTCTCTCCACATTTCAATTAGCAGAAGCCTGGTGTGAGCCACGGGTCTGAGGATCAGAAGTCCGTTCTCCTGCGGGGCCTGGATCTTTCCGGTTTCTACAAGATGGGTAAAATTCTGCTTCCGAATAAGGGAGCAAGTCGGGAAGAAGAGCACTCAAGGAGTCTGCCTAGATCTGAAACTGGTTTTCCCATGTAGGGTCTGTGTGACTTTGGACCACTTCCTTAACCTCTCTGAACGTCTTGTTTCTCTCGGGTCAGGTACCTAACTCACAGGGCGGCTGTAAGGATGGAAATAGCTAATGCACAGAAAGCAGTTAGAGCAGCCCCAGGACTCGAGGCGCGCTAGCTAGTGTGCTGCACTTCAGATCTCCGGGTCCAGACCCAAAAAATATAAGAAATAAAAAGTGCACATTGTGGGACATTACAGATTCTGTGACCACCATTATCAGTTCAAGGTGATAAAACCAGTTGAGAGGGGAGAATCGTGGTTGGATGGGTTTGCAGAAATGGCTGAATCTGTAGATGGAGAGGTTTTGCCCCATTTCAGGTTTTCAATGGGAAGAAGATACAGAAGGTCAGGGAAGTCCACTGTCCCCTCACAGCCTCTTCTGGTTTCTGGCTGCCTCCTGTGTTCCTCGGCTGGAGGCCAGCCTCTTTTCCATTCTCTACACTTTTTCCCTTGCTCATGCTGATCCTCTGACTTCCCCTTATAAAGATCCTTGGGACCAGCCAGGTCATTGTGAGTCATCGCCCATCTCAAGATACTTAATTTAAGGTCCTTTTGACACATAATGTACACATCCTCGGGACCCCACAGGGGTCCACACACCAGCTACATGAAGGGTGAGCAGTGTCTGGCCGGCCCCCTGGGCCATGCAGGCTTAACACCAACTGATAACTTGCTAAAAATGTAAATTCTTCAGCTCACCTTGGCCCCTGCAGGATGGGAAACCTCGGGGCAGGGGGTGGCTTGGCAATTGTTTGAGTCAGCTTTTTCGCTGCTGTGACTAAAAGACCCGACCAGAACAAGTGTAGAGGAGGAAAGGTTGATTTGGGGGCTCACCGTGTCAGAGGTCTCAGTCCATTGACAGCAGCCTCCATTCCTCAGGGCTCGAGGTGAGGCAGGACATCATGGCGGAAGAGTGTGGTGGACGGAAGCAGCTCACATGGTGATCAGGGAGCAGAGAGAGACTCCACTCTCCAGATACAAAATGCATACCCCAAAGCCACGTCCCCAGTGCCCACCTCCTCCAGCCCCACACCCATGACTTCAGGTACCACCCAGTGAATCCCATCAGGGGATTCATTCACGGACTGGGTTCAGGCTCTCATAACCCCATCATCTCTCCTCTGAACCTTCTTGCATTGTCTCACACGTGAGCTTCTGGGGGGACACCTCACCTCCAGACCATCAATGCAACCCTGTGTTCACAGGTGCTCTGTCTGGACAGCTGGGACGAAGGCCCATGTTGGAGAACCAGCAGCCTCGGGAAGATGTGAGGCGATCATTCTGTACTTCATTTGTTTATTCTTGTCCTTGTTCCAAGGGGGATGTAAGAGATGCACTTCCACAGCCAGTGTGTCACCAGATCTGTGACAGGATCCAGCTGGGAGCATACGGGAGGGCTGAGCCACAACCCTCCCCAGCTGTTCCTACCGTCCCCCGTGCCCCTGGCCCTCCTCCAGGGTCCTAGCAGCTCTGCCCAAAGCTGTGGAGAGTCAGCAGAAACCATATCAAAGCGATTGGGTCAAGGGTGTTAAGCAGCGATTTCCAAACCTATAAAATGCTAGGAGCCAAAGGGGGACCCCGAGAGCAGGTTTCCAAGAGCCTCATTTTACACAGGGCTCAGAGGCCCACGGAGGTCAGGCCCAAGGTCACCCGTGCACATGTGGAAGTCGGGATCAGCTGCCCAGATTGCGGATTTCACGCTTCTCAGGCAGACGGCACCAGGCCAAATAAATGTAGGAGCCCTTTCCAACCCCCTCATTAAGGGACCTCACCGAAAAAAGCAGGTGAGTGCACCCTGCTCTCCCTTGAATCCAGGTTCCACGAGGCAGGGAGAATCAGTTCACCAAAGGCGAGGGCTGAGCTATTAGCTTTCCTGCCAGGGCAGACTGAAATTGGGATTTATCTCAGGCGTGTCCAGAGCAAGAGTGGCCAGGAGAAATCTCTGCTGAGTTCTGAAAAGCAAGAATCTGCTGAAGGTCAAGAGGAGACTTTCAGAAACTGAGCTCTACGAGGGTGGGTAAGGTTTCTGAAGCCAGGTGGGCGGGTGGGTGGGGGGCCTGGGAAAGGGACTGCCGAGTTATAAAGTGAACCCAAGTCCATTCCAGAAATGTACAGACAGGAAAGGAAATCAACAAGAGAGCAGTCCACAGGGGCCAAGAGAATCAGTCCAAGGCTGGGCGGGGACTTCCTTTCCTCGACCTTGACCTTCCTTTCCTTTCCTGGAGAGGATGCCAATGGGGAAAGTTGATAGACTTTGAGAAATTCAAGGGAGCAGCCTCATCCCAAGTCAGACCACCTAAAGAGTTCTGCAAACTCAACTAATATGAATTTTGGTAGAGAAGGTTAGGGAATTTTTTATTATTTTTAAAAACAAAGTTGAGTGCTTTTAGAAATGCCTTTCTTTTCTTTTTTTTTTTTTCTGCTTTCCATTTCTCCTTCACTAACTAAGTGGAAAGAGACAGACAGACAGACAGACAGAGAGACCAAGAGATTCTAGGAGACAGATCACCCGCCTCCAGGCACTTTTTGTAAATATCAACAGCGCCACCTCGTGGCCAATGGATATTTGTGCACCTGGCCTCCCTCTCGCTGAAATAGACCGATATCATGATAATTCATTAGCCTGGAAGGTTCAATAACATATGAATTCTAATGCTCTGAATATTGACTATTCTGCCACGTGTTAATGAACAGGACAGTGGTTGTAAAATATTTATTATGAAATAAAGGGTGATTAAAAATATAGTAGATTTTTTTAAAAACCCTCTCCAGAA